CCTGGAAAAAGTGGGGAGGGGAGGAGCGCTTGCAATTGGGAAACAGCTTTTTTGTTTGTTTGTTTTTTAATCTTGCACTTTGAAACCGCGGAACTGTAGCAGGAGCGCGCGTGCGGTTTTTTTTTTTTTTTTTTTTTTTTTTTCCCTTCCCCTTGCCTAAACTCCTCTATCAGTCTGTAAACATTACCTGTGAATTCCCCAGCCTGAAACGGCTGCCGGGGCAAGAAACTTCTTGTTAGAACTTTCCACCTCCGGCCTCTCCTCCGCCCCTCTCACCGTCCCAATCTACCGGGAAGCGCTTTTTTTCCCCTTTCTCCTCCCAAGGTGAATTTATCTTTTTTCTTCTCCCCCCGCCCCACTTTTTCTCATCCAGTGGTTTGGGAAGAGGTCATTTCCAGAGTGGCCAGGTGGGACGCCTCTTTTCCACATTTGGTTTATTTATTATTGTTTGGGGTGTTTTTTTTTTTCAAATCCCTGTTTTGCTCAGTCCGGGGAGTTTGTGCTCACCCACTTCTACCCTACCCCCCCCAACACACACACACACACACACACACACACACACTCACATCCCGTGCCCGGCTCCGCCGCGCGGACGATGGTGTGGAAATGGCTGGGCGCGCTGGTTGTGTTCCCTCTGCAAATGGTCTATCTGGTGACCAAAGCGGCCGTGGGACTGCTGTTGCCCCCCAAGCTGAGGGACCTGTCGCGGGAGTCAGTCCTCATCACCGGCGGTGGGAGAGGCATCGGGCGCCACCTCGCTCGGGAGTTCGCAGAGCGCGGAGCCAGGAAGGTACGGCCTGCGGGGGGACGGGGTGGCACTGCGACACCTGGGAGGGGGCGCCCCGGCAGAGGGAACCCTGGTGCGAGGAGGCGCCCACCTGCTGTGGCTGCAGGATCCAGCGCCCATGAGCTGAGAGTCGCCGGCCACCCACCCCTTGCACCACCTGGAACTGTTGACCTAGTCGGTTTCACCTTGTAAATTTCCTGGGCACCAGACTGTCTTTTTTGGCAGGTCATGAGTTGATCTGCTCCCCTGGGATTGGTATCCGGCTGGCTATTTACTTCCTACCCCCAAACTTTGGAGACCTACCCATTCACCCCTATCAGAGGAGTTGTGCGGCTCCCCCCCATCCGTTGCCGCCACCTGGCCGAGCGCAGGGTGTGCAAGCCCCTGGGTAGAGCTGGAAACCGCCTGCTAGCTGGCGCTTGGTATTTTCCTTGGCAACCCACTGCCCAGCCCTAACCTGGGCAATTGCAGCTCTGTAGGAACATGAGAGGGGGTATTCGGTTTGGATTTGAAAAGAAGAGAGCTGTCTTGAATGGTCTAGCCTTGGCAGAGAACACTGGGAGGCCCAGGTGTTTGAAAATCCGGAAAGAGGGGCACAGGGGTAACCAGGTGATAAAAAGAGTCCTTGTCCTCCCTGATTCTCCAGCCCCCCTCTGCCCTAGAGGGGACCCCTCGGCACTGGGTTGGGAGGAGGCACCGTGCCCCACCGACTTGGCTTTTCACACTTGGTTGGTTGCTGCTCCTCTGGTTTAGGAGACCTGGTGTAGGAGAGTGAGGCGGGAGAGCCAGCTGTCACCCAACTGAAAATTGAAGGCCAGGCTGACTCACCCAGTGGCAAGAGCCATAGAGAGGGATTTGAGGCCGGCAGGCCAGGCTGTCTCCAGCCAGCCCTGTGAAGAGGAAGAGCGAAAACAGGGAATTAGTTTGAAATTTAAACTGTTGTGAATTGGGGGGAGGTGGGGGGACCTACCAGCAAAGCCAGCTGATCTGACATGGAGCCACATACCTTGAGGATTAAGTAAATATGTACTGTAGAAAACCAAACCTGAACGTAATTCCAGGTTGCTTTTGTTTTGTTAAATACTGCCCGGAGATTTACAATTCCTTCGGGGGTGGCTGCGAGTGAACTTTGGAGTCCGAACTATCAGGCCAAGCTGATTGCCCATTAACTCTTTCCGCACCGGGCTATCCCGGAAGAGCTCGTGGGGGTCCAGCTGTTCGCGGTTCCTGCTGCTCCTTGGGTGGTTTGGACCGCTGGTTGACCTTGCCATTGGAAGGGGAGTTCAGAAGTGTTTTTAACCCTTGGTCACTGAATGGGGGAAGGAAGAGTTGTTCTCAACAGTTTCCCTTACTAGAAGTGATGCACCCATAGACTGCTGACAAAGCCCTTTGTGGAGGGGGACCAGGAAGCCTTGAAGAAAGGAATAGTTGGGAACAGTTGTCTGTGGCTGTCATTTCTTCTCTACTTTCCAGTCTCTTCTGAATCTTCCAGCTGGCCCCCGTCCCGAGGCTCTTTCACTGTTCTTGTGGCTGAGTGGAGTAGGCATATGAGGAAGGCTTAGTCAATCTGGAAAAACTCGACCAACTGTAAACAATCCTAAATTAAAGGCAGGAGATGGCACTGGGAGTTGGTGTAACAGTGCAGAGTAGAGCCTGTGAGTTTATACCCTGGGAGCCAACAACCCACCTACCTTGAAAAGGCCAAGCTCTTCCAAGGAATAAGCCCAGGGCCAATGAGAAACACGCCCTCGGTGGGTGGCAGGGTCACCCAACACAAGATCCGGGGGGCCTGGGAAAGTCTTGGTGCCATTTATTGGGCAGGCAAGGAGATCCCCTGAGGGCTCCTGGGAATAACTATCTGACCAATTCCTGGAGCTGCTGTGCAGTGAGCTTTCCTAGAGCTATCCCCTTGGGAATGTGGACTCCTAGACTCGACTCAGTGCATCTGGCCAGTGCACAGAGCCAGGGGTGTTTGGAGCCCAGTGGGCTCATTCAACAAAAGGCTGAGTGTTGGGAATTTACAGGAAAATGGATTGGAAACAGGTGAGAACAAGGGGCTGTGGGTGGCCTGGTGGAGCTTGGGAAGGGCTCAGGAAGGCCTGCACCATCCCAGGCTGCAGTGGTGTTTTGTAAGGTGCCACAGGAGTCACCACATTCCCTCAGTGAAAGTAGAGGCTGTGACTGAGCCCTCCCTGCCTGAATTCTAGTGAGATGGGATCTGGGTGATGTCCCCAGAGGGGAAAGAAAGGAGTCTCAGAGCCTCTGCAAACAGCTGGTGTGTCCAGGAGGGGGTGGGACAACCCAGTTTCCCATAGTGACCTTGAGCTAAATAGAATCTGGCAATATTTATGGGTGATGGGGAGCCTCAGGCTGCAAAACTGACCCAAATAAGAGTTTTCCTTTCTTTTCAAAAAGGTTTATTTTTGTGTTACATGTGGTGTACATGTGGGTGCCCTTGGAGGCCAAAGGGTGTCAGATCCCTAGAGCCCGACCTTGAGCCACCTGACATGGGTGCCCGTGCCAGGAACCAAACTCAGGCCCTAGGAAAGCACAGGGAGCAGTCTTAACCACTTAGCCATCTCTCCAGGCCCTAAGAGTTTTTCTTAAAGGAGACATACAGGTGCCAAGAATTTAAAAATTCTTTATCAGAAAACTTCTCTCCCTACTCACAAGATGTAAGATGCTTACAGAGGTGCGGGACCAGTGAACCTGGGAGACTCCAAGGGGAAGGGTCGGGCTGGATCATACTCTGTTGGAATCCTTTATTTTCTGTGCACCTGAGAATTCCACCAAAGCATTCACAAAGCCTAAGCTCATCCTCACAGTCTTTGACAGTTTGATGGGGTTTGATTTTTTTTTTATTTTTTATTATTTTTATTTTATGTGTATGAGTATATCGCCTGTGTGCACATAAGTGCCCCAGTGTCCTGCAATGCTCACAAAGGTCAGAAGAGGGCGTCAGATCCCCTGGAACTGGAGTTACAGACAGTTGTTAGCTGCCATGTGGGTGCTGGGAATTGAACCTGGGTTCTCTGCAACAGCAGCCAGTGCTCTTAACTGTTCAGCCATCGTTCCAGCCCCTTCACAGGGTTTTAACATGAGCCCATGGTGAGAGCAGGAGGAGGAATAGGGGGGTGGTGGGCGGGGGACATTTGGCTATCCTAGCCTTCAGTCCAGTTTGAAGCAAGTACCCAGGCCATGGCTGCAAGCCTGCAGAGGCACCAGGGCATCAGTGTTGACCCCTACTGAGAATCCAAGGTCCATTTCAAGGAGGCAGTATGAGAAGCGACTTGAGTCAGATCTGCCTTGGTATTGCTGAATGTATGCAGCATGTGGACATGAAGCAGCTAGTCAGGACCTGGTCCGCGGGTACCTTTATAAGGCCCATTCTCCCTCCTATCCACCCCATCCTTCCCATTCTCAGTGCCCGAGCTGGCCCAGGCCCACCGTTTCCATCTGCCATAGACCCAGTTCACAGCCTGCCTGTGGCATCTGGCAGGTGGTGGCACAGCTCTAGGCCAGGAGGAGGGGGAAGGCAGGTAGGAATACAGCAAACATTCCTAAAGACCCAGTGTCACAGTCAGGTGTTACAGTTCTCTACCAGTCATTGGGTCTCACTGAGTGACAAAGGAAGCAACTCTGGTTTGGAAACTGCACTGAGTTGCCACTTACAGGATACCAACATCCGCTTCCAAACTCCTTCAACAGCCCCCAGCTTGCTGGCTGCCATCCACTTTGAGGAAACAGACTCAGCTATATTTGTAAGGTGTCCCTTCTGCAGAGGAAAGGGGTCTGGCTGTCACAATCTGCAAAAGTCATTCTGCAAGATCTGGCCTCACCATCAGAGCCCTGCACAGTTGAAGGGGTCTCCCTTATAACTTGGGTTTTTTTAATTTTGTTTTTGAGACAGGGTCTCATGGATCTTAGGCTGGCTTTAAATTCGCTGTATAGCCGAACAGCTAACTTCCCTAAAGGTCTAGTTTATGCTGTGCTGGGGATCAAACCCCTGGCCTTGTACATGCTAAGCAAGCACTCCGCCAACTGAGCTACATACAACTTGGATGAAAGCCTGGCCACACCTTTAACGTAAGGTTCTTTCTGTTGACTTTAAGAGACACAATCCAAAAATACACTGTCTATAAGGTAACTAAAACATTGCAAACATGTTATTCAGATAACTGTAAAGACTGGGAAACAGCTGAAGCTAATTGGGACTTTCTGCAAACAAGCAGCCTGCTTTCTAAGCAAGCATGATGGGAGCTGGGGTTCTCAAACCCTCCCCAATCCCCCAACCCCAGGGGATCTCTTCCACCTGTTCCAGTCTGATTTCTGTTGCTATGATAAAACTCAGACTAAAGCTGGGCTTGGTGGCACATGCCTTTAATCCCAGCACTTGGGAGGCAGAGGCAGGCAGAACTCTGAGTTCAAGGCCAGCCTGGTCTATATAATGAGTTCCAGGCCAGCTGGGGCTACAAAAAAAAGACCAAAAAAAAAAACCTCAGACTAAAAGCAACTATGGGAGCAAAGGATTTACTTGGCTTCCACTTCCAGGTCATAGTTCATCACTGAAGGAAGTTAGGGCAGGAACTCAAGGAGGGCTGGGCATGGTAGTACATGCCTTTAATCCCAGCACTCAGGAGGCAGAAGCTTGCAGATCTCTGAGATCAAGGCCAGCCTGGTCAACATAGAAAGTTCTAGGCTCGCTAGGCATAAAAGTGGACCCTGTCTCAAAAAGACCAATGAAAGAGCCATGGAGGAACGCTGCTCGCTGGCTCTCTGGCTCACTCATTCACAGACTCATGTACAGGACCACCTGTTTAGGATCACTGCTGCCCACCATGGGCTGGGTCCTTCCTACATCAATTCATAATCAAGACAGTCCCCAACAGATACGCCCACAGAACAATCTGATCTGGGAAAGCCCTCAACTGACACTTCTCTCAGATGACTCTAGGCTGTGTCAAGTTGGCAATAAGACTAACCAGAGCACACTCCTTAGATGA